AACGAATGTTTAATGTTCTTAGATTATAAAGTTTATATCATATTATAGTAGATTTCCAGAAATTGAGTCTACGAGGTTTCTGAAAGTTCTTGAACAGAGCAACATTCGCATAAACCGGAAAGGAACTAAGCATTGTTGATTGCTGTGTATGAGTACAGTGGCGCTCTGTCGAAAATGCTCCTTTATAAATGCGTCGCAGTGTGGAGCTGCACTTGTATAATCGGATCTTCACCATTATGATTATGCACTTTTTCAGAACAACTATGTTTCCGCTGCAAAACTGAATTCATGACTAACAAATGCCAAACACTGTCAACTGCAAACAAACCATCAAAATCAGGAGAAAATAAAAAGAACACGTAATACAAAATGTTCTGATGGGCAGTATTGCAAAAATTTAGTAGCGCAGAACGAACGTTTTCTCAAAATCGATTCGGAATAGCAAGCTGTAATATAATATGCGAATGGCGATAAAGGAGAAAAGTTACTTATTATTGTGTCCTTTGCCTGACGTGTTTAGTAGCCGATCTCTTTTTGAACTCGATCGGACCTTTAACCTAAATCGATAATGAATGTTAAGTTAAAATATGAACGATATCATGCAGCGTCTATGTACTACTCACCTTCTTCGTCAGATTGGCGCTTGTCTTCTCGGTAAATTCCACCTTTGGCTCTGCTTTTTCTGCAAGTTTTTCTTTTGCTTCCGCCTCCTTTCGCTGCCGTTCCTCTTCAGCACGATATTTAGCCGTCAATGGCGAGAATGCAGTTTGCCTGAACACAGGAGCTATGGCGGTAGAAAATAAAAAAAATAAACTTTTTGAAAGAATTTGTTTACTTGACTTACTTATCAGTCTTTTCCACTCTAGTCCAACCCCCAAATGGCCCAAATGGCTTTTCTGCTTCCCTCTCCCTGTTGTCTCCTTTCGTAGGATTTTGGACAAGTTCCCGGCTTGCAGAGGCGGCATTATTGGGCGCACTCTGGTCCTTAAAAGAAGGATAACAATTGGCATAAATGCAACGAGATACTACTACCTCAACCAGAGATTGAGTCTCTTCTGTTGCAAGTTCACTGACAGGTTCCGCTTTTAAAGTGACGCTGGCTCCTGCATCAGACTCACCTAAAAAGAAAAAGAAAATGATGTAGAAAACGAAAGAGATAAACCGAGTACCGTATTTTTGAAATACAAAAACTAAATTGGTAATAAACGATTTTTTAATGGTTTAGATAGCGATAACGCTATCGACTACCCCTTTTTATATTCTGTCGTGCAGAATGCAAATTTAATGAAAAGGAAACGGCAAACGATGCCATGCGTCTTGATCTTTCGCTTCCACTTGATCGAGACCCAACTTTACTTCAAAATAACATTTGATGTCACTACTCATAAAAAAGGAGATAGCGGGAATGAATGCATACCAGCAACGGGAAGGGGGATGTCTCCGGTGTGAAGAGGAGCATCATCGGATTCCTGGGGCTCATTTTTAACAGTAGGCGGCTTTGTCTCTGTCACAATATCTTTGGAGGTATTTGCAGCCAATTCACCTTAAAAAGAATCGGAAATAAGCATTAAAGCTCAAAGCTTGTCGGGACCTACCCGCAGTTGCTTCAACCTCTTTCGAAGTGGTCTGAACTGAAGTTACGAAACGGCTTTGGTAGTTCTCCCAAGTGTAGAAAGACTCAGGTCTTTCCCAAGTAGATTCTGAATACGCTCACCTGAATATTTGGAAACGTAAATGATATGCAAGGAAGATACCTCCAGTATACATGTGGAAGTAGTATTTAGATCCACTACCATCACCGGAGTCAGCTTCAACCCAAAATGTTTCCGAACAAGATGGGGCAGCATCTACCTTCATTTTAGGCTCAGGAATACTAAGATCTGAAAATCGCAAGTCTATATAGCTATTCACTTCATGACAACTAAAGAAAGTCTGACATAAGGTATGGAAAATGTAGAAAAAACATAAGCTGGAGCATTTGAGTATTTTAAACCGAATAAGGTTAAGCGCTGCAAAACCTGAGAAATAAGTACCTGGATAATCCACTCTGTAGGACGGCTCTCTACGAAAATACTTGGCTGGCATCGGAATACTGGGTGGCGGAGCGCTCTGAAGATCAAATTTCAACGTAAACTCCATTTTTGTGAGAGGAGCTCACCCTTTTCATCTCTCTCATCTCATTTTTCCTCATAGCCATTTCGCGCGCCATAGTATTAACATCTTTGAACTGACGAGGATCGAAGATCTTAGATGCAAGTCCAGTCGCTAGAAGTTAGGTAAAGCAGAACTGCTAAGTTGTTGTTAAATACTATGTGTAACATGATAAAACGAAACAAGTTTTATCTTGAAACTAGCTTACCGGGCAAAGCAGGACCATTTGGGATTCCCTCACCATGTTCGCGCATAGATTTCATGGCCGCTGCTTCCATTGCAGCCAAAGCGGTGTTCATTTGGTGTCTCTAAAGCAAGAATAACAATGATAGGATTTACAGCCCTAAAGAAAATGAAAAGATTAGGATGAATCTGACTTACCGCTTTTGCTTCTTCGCGACTCTTCTTCCCCAACTCACGGATTTTAGCAGCCAAAGCATCTTTATGCTTCTTACCTCGTTCATGGAATTCGATAGAAGCGCGATTATCACCAAACCAGACCTAAAGCGGGCAGATTTGAGGTGCATTGATAATTTCGTATAGAATTTATCTTAGTCAGATAATCTCAAAACTAGAAGGATCTGTTGCATAAGATCTCGCCTGGGCGGGGAAGATGCATACTATTAATACCTTCTATTTTGGCATTTTACATGTAATAAAATTTTTCACTGTCCGGAAAAATAGTGAGAGTTCATAAGAAAGATAATAAGTAAAAGTAGAAATCCAAAGGTTTGATGACCCTGAAAAAAAATTGAAAAAAGTAAACAAGTGTACCTTGCAAATTTCGCAAAATTTGCGTCCTTGCGACTTCCAAACATCTGCCATAATTCGCTAAAAATTACACAATAAGATATCAGTACAGACAATTCAAAGCAAAAGACAGACAAAATAAACATGAGCAAAAATTCTAGTCAACTAAGTATATCAGTAGGAGAGCGTCATCGAACAAAACTCATACCTCAACAGACAGTTCTTGGTCATAACCAAAAATCTGTCTGCTCAGGCTCTGAAAAAATTTTTTCGGAGATGTTGGCAGTAATTAGATTTTCTATTGATGAAATTTGAAAATAAATGAACTTACAACGAAATTAGAGCTTAAATTACGTATCGTCTTAATGCTTTCGCCGTATTTACACTTCCTGCGTTGAATTACGCGCATAGTCCTCGAAGTGTTTAATGCTATGGTTATTTCTCGTTCTGAAGGAAAGCAATGAGGTTTTTTTATCCAGAATTACTGGTTTTGATGTTTTGCATTGAAACTATATGATGTATGATAATGCTTTGGAAGCAAAATAGTATAAGGAACTAAGGGAACATATCTCATTCTCTTTTTTTTCGCGTATGCAGCCCTGCTTTTGCAACTAATGGCTAGAAAATATAAATCTTTAATTTGGATGAGGGTGAAAACATTCAGATAGTAAACCTTAATACAAATAGTATCATCTGAGGAATCGAGGAAAAATTGCATTTTATTTTTTCTTCTTCTGAGAATGCCAAAAACAAATAATGAATTTCCATATTGTAAGATTACTAATTTTCATATTATAAGATTACTTTGTCCTTCTACTTTTCAGCCTCTGCATTATTTTAACAACGAAACGAGCATTTTTGTCAGCGCCGAGGATGCTTAGGGGATAAGGGATATGGCTGCTCCAAGCGCTAGTACGTCTTCATTCGCACAGTCATGTCCACCACGTATCGAGCCGCAGTATGTTAGGGTAAGCAGTTGTTTTTCTTCAATTTTGATCACAACAAGTGCTTGTTCCTCTCTGTGCTTCATTAGTTTTGACCTTCTATTTATTATGATGTTTATAAAATATTCACTAACCGGTGCTTTACCTCTCCTTCGGAAAAGTTCGCACTGTTTGTGTATCAAAGAATTGAATTTTCGGTTTTCTACAACATTAGCTTAATAGTTCTCCTATTAATTAAAACCATCACATGCGTTTTAAAGTTTGATCTCACCTTATGCCATCTTGAAGCAAAGAGGTACAGAGGCCATTTGTACCACTGTGCCTCCCTACAGCAACACGAAGTGAGCAATCAACTTACTACGTTTTCACAACAGATGAAGCGTTTGACAATTGCTCTTTCTTTTTTAAAAACAACGCACATAGAGACAAATTTAGCGCTCTATTATAAGACATGTTTGAGAAATGTCCAGTTAATTTCAGATTGTGGGCGATTCTGTAGGGGTTGTTAATCTTACTCCTGCTGCTTTACAGTGCCTTGCCGACAAGGTTTGCATACTGCTTCTCCATAAAGAATATAGTAAATTTTACTCATTGTTAAGCTAACACAATGCTTAATCCGATGTTCAATGGCTGCTCGCCAACTTGCGGTCCATGGTCGAAGAAGAACTGTACGGGTCGAAGATTTAGAATTAGCCCTTCGGTCTTATGGACTACAGGTAAAGTTATTTGCACAATATTATGTTTCTCTGCCTTTTCAGCAATGTTGTAGATGCCTATTGGTGCTCTTACTCGCTCACTGCCCTCTATCCGGCAATTACATATGCCTGGTGGGGAACAGCTCTATGTTAGAGAAGATGCGGATCTCGACGTCCCCGCTCTCACTCAGCCTCCATTAGTAAAAGTTCCTGTTAAACGGCATATCCGAGGTAGAGTTCCCGGCAATATTGAAAATTTCCTTTCTCACACATCTACTTTAATTGTTACAATTTTCGGTGAATTACTAAGTTTGCATAGTTCATATCACCTCCTTTAGAGTGGAAATCTCCGTTTCTGTTACTTTCACTGTCTCTTCAGTTTTTCGATAATTGAGACATATCTTAGTTCACTGGATAAGAGTAGATAGCGAAGAAGAGCCTCCACCAGAGAAAAAGGCTAAGAAAATCTCTCAAGGAAGTGGAATCACTTCTGCCGATCTACCAGCTGCTTTGAGAAAAAGGCGAGTCTTCTGCAATTACGTTTGATTTGTTTCAATCTATCTTGGGAGTTAACAGTTCCAGAGCCCCACTCTCTAGTGAGTCTGCAGCACCTTCGATCTCATACCGATTAGCTGCTCAGGGTGTTCCCCGTAAAGAGCAGATCCTTATCAAGCCATCCTTTGTTGAGCCGCTATCAGTGGTAAGCCGTTCAGTTCGTTTTTTTTTACATTCACTTCTACTTCCAATCCAACCTGCAAGCGTTTCTTTGTACTTTTTTTTAGAATGTTTTAGCCTTTCTGTGTTTGTCTGCCATTTCATTATGTCAGTACCTGTGTTCCACAAGAAAGTATGAAAATAATTATGATGAATTACACTGAAAATCTTTACAAGTAGTTGAATCAGATTTGTTTAAGGTTTTATAAAATGAAAAGCTAAGCCTCTCTCATTGTCGCTTAACTTTTCATTTTACCTTTTTGTTTAAACTATCAATGCCATGAGTAATTTATTGTTGTAGGAGCAGCAAGTCTATCTTAAAGAAATTGTCGAAGCTTGTGTTGGTCAAGATGATCGAAAGCGCCAACAAGCGTTGCAGTCGCTGGAAAGAGATACCGGTATACAAGTGCTATTACCACGATTATCACGTCTCATCTATACATCTGTAAGTTCTAAACTATCTTGCACTCTTTAGAATAGTAATATTTGTACCTTTAACTTTTTTT